GGCAGCGCCGGCGCCGCTGTCGCTGCTGCTGCCGCCGCCGCTGCCGTCGCTGCTGCTGCTGCTGCCGCCGCTGCCGCCGCCATTTTGTGAGAGTGCCTCGAGCGGGCGCCATGTTTGTAAGGAAGAAATAGGGCAGCCATCTCCGGCCACCAGCACTTCCCTTCCCCCGTGTGTGTGTCCTCTCGTTCTCCTCCTGTGCCCCGGGCCTGCTCCTCCGAGCCGCCGCCGCTGCCGCCTCCTCCTCCTCTTCCTCCTCCTGCTGCCCGCGCGGGGCGGCCGGGCTCAGCCTGGGCAGCCTCGCCCTGCACTGAGTGCCCGTTAAGTGTCTCACTAAGTAACCGTGAGTGGAACCTTCATCATCTCTCTTCACTGAGGGACCCGACCCTCCTCCTCACCGAGCCGCCCCCCAGCGCGGCCGTGCGCGCCGCCGCCACCTCCTCCTCCTCCCTCCGCACCACGGGCAGCGGCAGTGTCCTGCCTTCCTCCACCTCCCTCCTCCTCACCACACCACAGCCAGCACAATGGCCTTTGAAAGCCTGTTCTCCAAGCCCCCAAACCCAGTTCTTGACCCAAACATGCCCGACTCTGACAGGCAACATGCAGGGGACGAAAGGTCGAGTAACATTCTTCTCTCTCTCTCTGTCTCTCCGCTTCTCATAATGGTGATGCTAGTGGGGTGATGATGCTGATAATGATGATGATGATGATGATGATGTGTGTTAATGTGCCTAGGGGGTTAACAATGTTGGTAGCATTTTGTGGGGGCAGGTCACCTTCAGGCTGGAGGAGCGGGATGAAGGCTGGGGTGGGGGGAATGCAAAATATGGGGGGTGGGGGGGTGGTCACTGAACTAGAAGTGCATTGTTAGTATTTTTTTTTTTCCTGAATGCATGCGTTTTACATCTACATTTACTTATTCTGGCTGGGTGTGTGTGGGGGGGTCCATTTCTGTCCATAAAATGCACTTTCCAGCGGGTGTCTGTTGAATGTCACCATTGTTCTTTTCTTCCCTTGCCCTGGTGCTGCTAGTCAGGTAGGAAAGGGTGTTTTGTTTTGYGGGGCTTTCTTTGGGAAGGAGTTACAGAAAGAGTCTCTCACTAGATCCMTATTTAACTTCATTTTATTGCCAGATTCCACCTTACATGTTTAACTGGATCTTTTTTTTATGCAGATTAAGGTCTGACTGACGTTATCTTTGCCACCCCTCAGTCCCCATGCGCAGAAAACCAGAGTCCTGTTCCTGGTGAAAGGACCTCTGTTCCTCCCTCCCTTTCTCTCCTGCAACTGCTGGAATTTCAGATCCTTTCTTCAGGCAGCTCTGGCCTTCMAAAAGTCCAGTTCCAGAGCGACTGCTCCCAATCTTCCAGTGCACTTTTACTCAGAGGATGTGTAACAGAAGTGCAGGAGTTAAAATGCTGGTTTTCGGCAGCTGGGTTTCAGTCTGTCCTCCCCACACACCTCCACAGCCGAGCTCTGTGCATGTTTCAAAGGACCAAAAGAACACCTAAGAGCCTCTGAGTGATTGTCACGGTTCCCTCGTCAGAGTGAAATTCATGAATTCTGTGATATAAATTGTTCAGAAAACATACAGTGATTTAGCGATAGGTTCAGATAGACCCCAGAGCTCCYGATTCTTACTTCCACCTTCCCACTTTTAATTTTGAAACGATGCAAGTTCTGTTCTATATGCTGACAAGGAATCTGTGAAACAAGCAAAATGTGAATGGGTTGGATTTGCTGTAGTTACAGCATTACTACTTGTGACAGCTTTGCAACAGTAGCAGCAGAGTATTTTAGAGTTCACACACTAGAAGCCTGGGATTATTTACTGCAGACATTGTTTCGGGATTGAAATTACTATGTTGATGTCCTTTGTGCCTGTGCCTWGGAGGACAGGCCCGAGCCGCCTTGTTCACTGCTCTCCTGATAGCCTAAGTTTTCTAATTTAGAGTTGCTCATGCTATGTTGACAAGTAAAGTTCCTCTTATCAGCTGTGATCCCTACTACACTTGTTATTTCACCGATAAGTTTTGAAATAGGGTATATAAAAGAACTAGTATATATAAGTCCTAGTCTTATGCACTTTAATACATTGGTCTTTTTATTTTAATTTAGAAGAGCAAAAAAAAAAAAAACTAAACAAATTTACTTTGTAAATAATATTTCTATAAAACTTTTGCTCCCTTGTAACCTGAGACTTTACAGCAAAGTGTGTTTCCAGTACACCTGGTGTGTTAAAAAAAAAATGGTGCCTTCATCCTATATTAGATAGGCAAATTTAATCCTGTCAGTATCTTAACTTTCTAAAATTTACAGTTTTCTTTTGTGTGTGAGGGCTGAGGGCTTGAAAGGCCTTAAGAAACACACGGCCTTTCTTTTCCACAGAAAACATGGTTGACTCGCCAGGGGGAGGGGCAGGACAGCTCTCTGTGAGCATTTTTAAGTACTGAGTTGCCCTTAACAAGTCTCCTTTACATTAGATTGAAAAGCTTAGGTATAGTTTTTTAGGTCCATTCTTTAGGAAATATGTGGATGTCTGATATGCTCATGATTTAAGTTAAATTGGAACTTTATTGCAGAATTAGCTTGCTGTTTTAAAACTAATATATCTAGTTTGAATGCATTTTATATTGCATTCATTTTTTATTTGTTTTATTGTGTTATTAGTAACCCAGTAAGGCTAGTTTGCCTCCATGTAATACAGCCTGTAATATGTGTAGGTACCTGAAATCACTCAACGGATGAGATCAATTTATGACATAAATTCATAACATTTCCATTAATATTTAGCAGTTCAGCTTTCGAACTGATCTAGAGCAGTATAAGGAGGTTGGTTGTTTAATGTTTGAAATGGTTTGACCGCACTTGGGATAATTAAGGTGAAAGTACTGTTTTAATACACAGGCTTTGTGTGCTTGGTTTATAGATGGGCATCGGATTACATGAGGAAGTTTTTTTCATTCTTTGAATATTTTGACTTAACCCATTGCAGGGACGCTCTCTTGGAATAAATATTTGAAACTTTCCACATACAGAGATAACATCTTTTCAAAGTTCTAAGATTGGGTTTTGTTAATAGTTCTAAGATCTGGGTTTTGRTAGTTTTTTACTTAGATTATTTTTAAAAGAGAAGAGAGGTAGGGTGTAGACACACACAATTATGTCAAATAAATACTATAGACAAAAATAAAACCCTGTTGGAAAACACGTGGCTCCCATCTGCTATCAGCAGGGTGAGAGAGTGTTAAGGAGAAGACTGTAACATTAGGAAAGGAGGCTTGATATATAAACTGGAATACGAGCAGATTATTCCACTATTCCTGAGTTCAGCAAAGTCTTATTAGTTGCAATTGTATGGGCCTACTGTTATAATTTTTAGGGTTGGAAGACTCTCTTATACACATTGCCTTGCTTCATCGTGCTATAGATGAATATACTGGCTTATATCCCTGCTTACCTGAAAGAAGAACTAGATTCTGGTTGCAAACTGAAAGAATTCAGCCGTCATGCAGACTTGTATAGACTCAGATTTTCTGACTAGTACTCAGCTGTGAATGGCATGTTTGCTCCAGTTGGTTCTGCATTTGAGGCCAGTGCCAAATTTAAAATTGCCAGAAACTTGAGAATTTATTTATTTATTTATTTATTTATAACTTTAGATTAGTAGTGATTCTTTCTGTTAGCTGTCTATTCATAGCTGTCTTATAATATCCAGACTTGGAAAATTCATACCGTTAACTGCTGTAAAAATAGCAGTGACCTAATGTGAGGTCTGGACAGTGGCAGAAGATAGTAGATTACTTTAGACTCGGCCCTCCAATGAACATCTGAATCTCCTGTGAGAGGTTTCTGTAGAAAATTATACTGATTTTTTTCAGAGAATACTTGTAAATGTTGCTTCAAAACAGGGCTCATTTGTTGCATTTTTTATTCTTTTTTTTTTTTTCGCCAAGAACGACACATTACATATTTTTTCATTATATATTTGATGTATCTCAGATACCTTTACTTTTTTCTTAAATTATTGTAGTCACTGCCTTATTCAAGGTAAACTGATGGAGCTTCAYAAAGCTTTCCCAATGTGTTTGATTAAATAAATCATCCTGCTTCTGCTCACGGTGCTGCTCATCCAGWTCCTCTCCTTCCCTTGCTGTGGCCTGATGAACCAGGTGAATGGAGATTTACCAGARTCACCTCTTCTTAGCTGTTTCGTTTCCCAGGGCTCCTCTTCCATCTCGTTCACAAATTACTTGCTCCCCTCCATTGCACCAGTTCTCCACTCCTCTCCTTAGTGAGGATGATAGAAAACTCTGCTCATATAGCAGGTTTATCTGGTTTGTTGAGCTCTGCTTGGTTCAGTTACAAAGYCAGTGGGAAGTAAAGGGAAAAATGTTAGTGACTGGTTGTAAATMAGGTGGATAGCACTGAATTTAAATCAGCGTTATACGTATTATTTATACATTTTTCTGTGATTGCTTAGTCAACATACTTTGGGCTGTGTCCATATCTCGTCTTGATTCCCATGACTCTTCAGCTCCRTGAAGCACCAGAGCGTTGTAGATCAGAGTAGTGAGGAACTGAAAAGCTRAAGATCTCCCATCATCTGTCGTTGCTGCTGTGCAGCCTGACTGCTCTTCACGTCTTCAGGCWTTTTCAGTTAAAATTGGCAGTCTGAATGCACTGCTTTGTGGTTTCATGCCCTCTGCCCACATTTGCATACAGTTGAATTTCAAAATGCTAACTTTGGGCTGTTTTAGGGATGCTTTCAGTAATAGTTATGACTGTGTTATGCTGAAGTTGGTTTGGATCGCTGAGTGGAGTGTTGCTAGAGTATATTGTTTTTGAACACAGGTTCAAGACTTGCTTTGACACCATGAAAAWGGGAAAACACACTGATAATCACCCTCAAGTATATCCTGTGGGAAAACACAGTTTACTTACCATACGGCTAATGTTGCAAGAGGAGCAAAAATACAGCTAACCTACACAGCAATTACTCCTCATCCTAATGGGGAGGAAAAGATGGTGTGAATTTTTGTAGCTATATCAACAGTARTAAACCACAGCAACTGGAGAGAATTGGGACTTCTGGGGAGAGAAAGTGGACTTTCTAACTTTCTCTGGTTTTAGCAGCTCACTGGCCACCTGTACCCTCATAAGAAACCATTTTKGGGCATGTTTTACTGCTATCTTCCTTGCTTCCTTCTTTCATATTACTGAGATGCAGGTGAAGTCATTCTAGGGCTAAAAAAGCAGTTAAACCCCAAGCACTCTTTTCTGTAACTTTTCATGGTATGTTTTCCTTGCCTGGTTGCAGATTTAAAGAACTTTAGATTACTAGTGTTCAAAACTCACGGCCACCTGAAAACTCCACCTTACATAACCTGCATCGCACTGTGCCAGTTCTCTACACACCGTCCTGTCCTCCCGCAAAAATATCTACTTTGTAAAGTTCTTTATTACTTCAGCAATTCTGTAGCGTAGCAAGTTGCTAGGACAGACTCATCCGTGGGTGTTTGCCACTGCTTTTGGGTGGTGACCATGCAGGTATAGTCTTGCCGTAGAGGCAGCTCATGGTGTGCAAGGCTGCCCGTGTTTTGCAAAGGCTAAAAC